TATACTCGTAATGAAACTCGTATAAACACGTCTTGGATATTTTGAGTATGTACATACCTACGTAAATTGGTTTGTAGAATTTCACCTTGAGTTTACGCAATTCCACAGCGATTAAATTTTCAGAAAAAACGCTTCTGCTGTGGAAATTTGGTTTCGCGATCATCGCCTCTGCGCCGTATCGTCCGTCCCACTTTGTTAATAATTTTACATCGATACGATTGCGCACATTTTCCATCGTTTTACCAAACACCGCATTATTCATTAATTTGTATAAATTTTTTTCGAAATCATTTTTAGCCAATGTTCTGAAATGTGTATTTAATTCTATGTAATTTTGAAGCCAGGAAGATTGTGAAAACTGTAAAATTCGATGTATTTTTGTTACACAAAGGCCGTGCCGCGTACTGCTGCAGGTTGCGGTAGTGTATCACGTAACGCTTCTTATCATATATTGTAATGTTGCAAGCAGTTTGAATTCCCGCTTGCCAGGTGGTTTGTCGCGTGTCGGGCAAAACGGTAGGTCAGTGTGCGCATCGTGAAGATGTTGCGGGTATTCGAGGTCCACTTCGAGGATATAGCCCGTAGGCGAATCTAGCGCGATGAATGATACATCAAAATTGGACACATCGTCGACCCATTGAAAATCGGCATAGGACAACGGTTGACACATTGCCCATCCGTACAAATTATTTACATCAAAGTACATCAAGTACGATGATAGTTTCGATGGATCGTACGACTCCATGTGCTTGTTATTAGCTCGTATCTACCCGAACATTGACTCAGACCACCGCGTATACCACGTTCGATGAACATAACCATGTCGATATCTGTAAGCAACTCAAACGTGATCTTTGTATGCTTCAACATGGCGTCTCACGTGTATCCGGGGAGAGTATAGTAATACACGGGATCGAGTCCGTAACTTTCGATACATTTATCTCGAAAGTTTTCGAAAATGTCGGCTAATAACAAGACATCGATTTTGAGGTACAAGTCGCTATATTCGCCTAGCGTCCGAATGGAGAATCGCGTCCAGACGTTCTCGGCGTGCGCGTAATCGCTCTCGGATACAGTTTCACCGGTCAAGGAACTGTAAAACGATTCGTGCGGTGGTAAACACGTATCTTGCAACCTGTCGGAATCGATGTATTCGTACGGAAATACACCTTTTCGCGTTAACAAATTGAAATTTTCTGTAGATAAATTTTGAAATTCCGATTTTAAAATTTTGAGTTTGTCTTTGTTTAAAAATGATGCCAATTTATCGAGACTTGATGCGAGAAATTTGAATAAATCGATGAAACGTAATTTTATATGATTTTTTGATTCTTCTTCCATACAAACATCTTTTGTAAACGAAATATATTTCTCTTTTGTTATCGGAAGTAACTTGATTCTCCCTTTGAACGCTGTGGCTATTTCTTCGATAATAAAGTGTGAATCGTAACCGGATAAATTATGAAACACTATCGGAATACAAAAAGATTCTTTATAATTTAAATTTCAATTTGAATGCGCGAGACCTCTGTACCGACTGATCAATTGGCAATGATCGCGTACGCGTCTATCATCTTCCGCGAATAGCTGTTCGCATATATGACATTGAGTGGCGCTATTGAATTTTTTCCACTCCTCGAATGTCAAATTTACCATGGGGACATTGGTCGATAAAATATTCTTAACACAAATTGCTAAATTTTTAAGATCTTCAAGGAACCAAGAAACGCAATCGGCACTGCGACGCGAATGATACGCTGATAATGATTCTTCTTTTCCTCCGTCTTGGCCAGAACGCATTCCAAGTCGGCGTATACGATGAATGGAAGCCGCTCCTTCCGATGAAGTTATAGGACTCACTTGTCCTTCTCGCTCGGTAACCGGATAGCGTCATTCATCTCACGGCAGTCGACCGTATGCGATTGGAACTTGTCCGAACTAAAATAATATAGGCATCTGTAAAAGAAAAACATTTTTTAATTTAAGATTTTGACAATTTGTTATACAAATTATAATTATTTAAATTATATAAATTAAACTTACCGGTCGCAGATATATTTTTGACCGTTGTGTTTGCTCATTTGGGAGCTCACGAACCGGGATAAGTTCTTCATCCACGCGAAATATCCGGCGTTGTTGTCGTCTTCCACGTATAGCAGATTCACATGCTTATTCCGCTTTTGCCTCGTAAGATGTATCGGAACAATGCCTTCGTTTTCGATGCCGTACACCTTGATCGAAACGTCAGTAACAAGTTCAAATTTCTTAATCTGATTTACAGTCACTGGAAACTCAATGGGGATTCAGCACTGTCGCGTAATGTGGATACGAGGATTCCCGTTCCGCGTTCCTTTAGGCAGGATATGCTGTAATACGAATACGAAGACGACCACTGCCCACGCGAAACACGCATTGTTCTTTGATTGCACGTTAATCACCGCTCTTTTCATCATAATCTCCCGCAGTAATTTAATGTGACATCCCGCGCGCATATTATACCTATTTACAGTCAAGTTTAATATTCGTGACAATGTCCACCTGCTGTCGCGTTCCTAAAATTCTTCCAGCGACGCTAGGATGGACTTGATAATGCACCGTTCGTACCACTCGCGTAAATCGGACGTGCGAAAGAGTTCATAGTTTCTCGTAATGATACTTTTGGCACGTTTATCTCCGGTCACGAAGTCACCGTTATAGTGTTCACTTTCACGTTATAATGTTTCTTCATAATGTTCTTAACATGTTCTGCAGAAATTGGCGAAGTTCGATGTTAATGTAATTTGAATTATAGTTTATCACCGCACCAGTCAATACGCGACACTCGAACGCCGTATCAATCTCGCGCCACACAAGTTCATTTTGATGCGTGCTACATCCGGCACCTGCGTGTACGAAATGTTCGCGTAACGAATTTTTCAAACCTTCGAGACGCGATCTGAGCAATCAGCGATTATCGATTTTCGATCGATAATCGCGGTCATTTGATTCGACTTTGCTCTTCCAGTGACTCGATATACGTATCGCATTGTTGTTTCCACACAATGTAATCTTCCAATGAATTCACCAAAGTGGACTGTTTTCGCAAATTTTGTTTCTCCACATTGTAACACACTTGCAAAAAGCTTTCCAATGACTGTTCTGATGTATTTTAGCGAAAATACTAGCGAGGTGTGCTTTTTTATCATGATTTATATACCGTCTCATGCATTGTTTTATCATTGAACTTTCTAGAATGATTTTATCTTAAAAAATTTCCTCGGAATAGCGTATGCAATTTAACTTCAATAATTTTACATTTTGTCACGTACATTTAAAAAATCTGATTAAAAACGTGATTGCATTAGGAGCAGCCGTACATCGGCGACAAAATTTTAGAGGAAACTAAAATGTTGCGTTAACAATAATCCCCTCTACATTGCAATTTGCGATACTATTTGAATTAATAATAATTCTAATACGACCAGTACTGCATTAATCGCGCGTATGAAAGGTTCATTGCTAAAGAAATCAACATGAATTTTTACGTTCCGATTCGAAACGGCGAAACTCCACCGTGTAAGAAGTAAAAATGCGACATGTAAGATTTGATTATTTAAAAAATTTTGTTATTTATTAATTTTTTAATATTTTGGTCTAATTATTTATATTTATATAGCATTCGGCTTCGTCGTGCGGCTCGTATACTTGGAAGAAGGTACGCTCTAACCCCAACATCGTATAAGTATTTGAACATTGGAATAAGCGTTGGAGCTGTATCGTATGTGGAGCTGATTCTCGGCGATAATCGAGGCAATCAAATATTGTTGCCTTTTTCAACGTGGAATTTGTTGATGCAGAAGCAAGCAGACATTGACTGTTTTCTACAATTGACAGCTCCCCTATTAAGGATTGAGGATTTAAGCGATCGAAAAGCATCAATCGAAAATTGTAAAACTCACATTATGCGAAAATTCTTTGTATATGAAACTACAAGCATTATTACATTTATTTAATTTTGAAAATTGTATCAATCACATGCACAATTGGTTATGTGAGAATACCTATCTCGTTAATGAAAAATTTAAACAATTTGAAACTATATTACAACGTAACAATACTACTGTATGCGATACTGTAAAAACGATACATAAGAGTAATGTCTTTAACAGCGAATCATTAATTGATTGCGAATTATTAATATGCGTTGTAAATGATATTCTTTATGATGCGTGCAATAAATAATTATTTTTATTTCATCTGTGATTTTATTTTTTTCCTTCCATACGAATAAGAATAGTTGATACTGTTGTGCCCGGCGCGGCACAGGGTGTGGGGAGTTTCAAGTTTAATTTCCTGAATTTGGTTGCAACTTTTTATTATAAAATTTCCCTCATACAAATATATTCATTTATTTGATATTAGTCAATTTCTTTTCAAGCCTTCTTTTCTTAGCCTCGTTCTTAGATTTAGAGCATTCTAACAATTTCGTCGGATGATTCGTCACACAATATAGCGGTTAGCCCTTGGTCTCGCACTGTTAACGATTGATTTATTATTTACGACTGTCCGCCGTGGATTCGCGGTGGACGGTTTTTATTCCCTCGGTTTTGGGGGTGTTTTGGAGGGGATTGCGACATGACCATGTATGGTCATGGAGGTTTTTCGTGGCGTCCAAAGTCTAAGTGCAAGCGAAGGAGGTTCAAAGTCGAATCCCTTCGTTAGCGTTTTCGCGTTTCCGGCGAATGTTCTTACGCGTGGTTCGCTGAAATAGCGGTTTTGCGCGGTTCGCGAATATTCTATTAATATTATCAATGAAATAATAAGTTATAGTCTTTCGGACTATAACAATACTTTTCTCAACAGGCTCCGCTAAAGATGTAGAGAAATGTTGAGGTAGATGAGACGTGATGCTCTAGTTAGAATGAGACAAAAGATATTAAAAGATATATAATGAAGCGGAGTCTGCAACATTAGAATATTATTTCTTTCGTTTGTCTTCTGTGTTTCATTGGTCACTTATAATGGCTGAAGAAGACATTTTTATCATCGGTAATGAAGATGTTATTATCATCAACAAGATTGAAGATGTTATCATTGAAGATGACAATATAATGGAAATTGATAATCTAGACGAATCAGACGAGGATGGGTCTGATATAGAATTAGAATCATTGGAAGATAGTGATTATGAGAGTGATAGTAGTGATGAACTAATGTAAACTAAACATTGAAATTTAAACTTGACTGAAATAATAACATTGGAACATATGAAGATGTGTTGCATATCCTACTATTATGTGGAAAATGAGTCTAAATATTGTACCGAGAGCTTTCTTAGATTATCGTATCTATTCTTAGAAGTTAGTTCTGTTCGGAAACATAGAATCACATATTATAAACATTTATCTAATATGTCTTTCAAAGAATATAAAAAATCTTTACATCAAATGATATCATGCAAAAAATCTCATTTGTACAAATTAAAATAAATGGGTCATGAATAACATTGTAAGTAGCTTTCAATTTATAATACATCAAAAGTACCCTAAAATAAATTATTAAAAACTAATGAAATGTGTCTTTTTTTCTGTTCCAGGAGCGGTTTCCCCTCAACCCGGCGCATCGCCCTCTTAGCCTTCCAGGAGCGGCCTCCCTCTTAGCCCAGCGCATCCCCCTCTTTATATATATATATATATTTTTTTTTTACATTAAATTTTATATTTTATACTTTATTATTATTATTAACTTTTTTATATTTTTCAATTAAATTTTGTATTTTTATATTATTATTCTTATTATTTTATTATTTTATTAGACACACACACTCACACACACATACATCTATCGCTCGTTGATCAAATGGGCGTAAAGACACGTTCGACCTCCTCCCACATACATCTTTCTCTGGAGGGCCTGACCGGCCCTATATTAGGGTCCATCCGCCACTGCTATTTGGTACAGTGGGGATTTTAGTATGTACTAGAGAGATATTGGGAGATGTGGTCACTCTATGGCGTTATGCTCATCGATGCCGTTTCATACGGAAGGCCAATCGGAAGCCAGCATGCACGCGAATACCTTCATCGGCATTTATTTGGTCAGCGAGCGACCTTTCAGAGATTCTCCATGGCAATTGGCATTGCAGCCATCGAGTGAGATACCAACATCGCTTTGGAGTCGCATGTCACTGTGTTAAAAAGCAGAATTAGGTGTGAGGTCTGGATAGCTCAGTGGTCTAGAGCAGTTACCAAGAAAGCGAAAGACTCGGGTTCGATTCCCGATCCAGCTACTTGCGCCTTACATATTTTTGTAGTCTGCGAATATTGTCTGCGAATATTGTTTTCGAGCAATTATTATTCGTTAGGCTGAAAAATGTGTGAATACTCTCTCCACAGGATATGCGTCAATTCCGTTGCCACGGATGGATTCTGTTAATTAAATGGGCGTAAAGATACGTTTGACCTCCTCCCACATACATCCCTATCTTTCTCTGGACACACACACACACACACACACACAACAAATGTATTATTACACACTTTAATAAATTTTATACATTTTAATTGTAAAAAATTGCAGTTATTAACACGCCTTTCCCTTGCGCTCCCATCCTTTGCCATCTCTCTCTCTCTCTCTCTCTCTCTCTCTCTCTCTCTCTCTCTCTCTCTCTCTCTCTCTCTCTCTCTATCTATCTATCTCTCTCTCCCCCCCTCTCTCCCTCCCTCCCTCCCTCTCTCTCTCTCTCCCTCCCTCTCTCTCTCTCTCTCTCTCTCTCTCTCGCACTAGTTGTAAGTCTCGCAATATCTTCGTGTTCTCTCTCACGCGTTAATAAGTCTCACTATCCTCGGCACGCGTCATTGTTCTTTCGCGCTATCTCTTTTTCTCGCGCTTATCAGTCATCTCTCTCGCATGCTCTATGACACAAAAAATGTACTCAGTTAAATAAATTTTATAATTATGATTGAAAAAATGTATTTATTTATACACCTTTCCCTTGCGCTATCTCTTTCGCGCTAGTTATAAGAATTTATCGTTGTCTTTATCACACTTGTCGTCTTCGCAATACCGTTCTCTCTTTCGCATGCGTCGTTCTCGTAATATTGTTCTCTCTCGCGCGCTAATTATAAGTCTCGCAATATTGTCATTGTCTCTCTCTTGTTTGCGATATTATCGCTCTCTCTCGCACGCGTTGTTCTCGCAATATCGTTCTCTCTTTCGTACGCGTTATTATTATTCTCTCTCTTTTATATGCTCGTCACTCACTCATTCACTTACCTTTGCGACATCCTTCTCCCACCTATGCATCATCTTACAATGCGTCGTCCTTGTCCCACGTTGATGCCATCCTTGTTGCACGTTGATGATATCCTTGTCGCCACTGTTCTCTTCACTACTTAGCGCTATCCTTTTTCCACACGTAGCGCTATCCTTTTCACACCTTTGCACCGTCTTCTTTCCGTGGATACCCCTTCTTCTTGCGGACCCCTCGTCCACCGGTCGGATCCGCCTTTCTCACGTGTGACGTCATTCACCGCGCGCCGCAATTCCTCCTTCCCCGCGCGTGACGTCACTCCTCCTGTGCCGTAGTTCCCCTCGCGCCTCCCTGAGAGGACCTGAGTTAGAATTCTTCTAGTATACCTACTCTTCTAGTTATCAAAAAATATATTTCAGCAATAATTATATAGAGAGCTTCTAACTTATAATCTCGTGATGAGTACAGTTCTGATTAAATTTAGAAGGAATCAATTGATGCTATCACTATAGATTTTAGAAATGCAATGTCCCTGATCAAACTCACGAATTATATTCTAGTTCTTATTTGTACGTTACAACAGGACATTTAATCTATCCCATAAAAACCCAAATCGTTCTGAAAATCGAAGAAGAATTAATCAGACGGAGTTTGGAAAAAGATAATCAATTATGATCACAATGTATATCGATTTCAACATGTTATCATTATATCGTTCAGATGCTTTGGAAATATTGACTAAAAAGTTAAAGAAATATTCACATCAATTCAAGAAATCCACTGGATAGAAAATGGCATATTTACAAAGAAAGATTTCGATATTTACAACATTTGTTATAATTAATAATTCGTTTTATAAAGTGAAGGTCTATCTATGGAACATCGAATTGAATAATATTTTAATATAGTATAGTATTCTACCTACAGAATACGTGAATAAAGAAGACAATGCTCAGTCGTTTCCGAAAAAAAAAATCGATTGAAAGAATATAACATATACTGGTATTTTGTATACTGTATGTATATTATATACTTTAAATCGATCAGTGAGAAGATGTACGGTGTAGCTCGGACGATGTAGTCCGAGACTATCATGCTGCGAGTTCACAATTCGATTCTTTACTACTTAGTATTTTTTTTCTTTTTCATTTTTAATTCAACGTACACTGTTAATATAAAATATAATTTAATAAATGTTACCGACTTTGCGAATCCTTCCTTCTGTGAATACTACTTAATTCGCCTGTCATGGTTGTAGCGTAAAGAGAATGTTGGTCGTAATTCGGTCGCTAGTACACATTATCAGGATTAACGAGACATTGAGAATCTTTCTTTCGAAAGATTGTGACAGCGCGCGCAATAAGAAAGATTATGCGGTTAGATTCTCGCAACTAATCAATGAACATAGACCGCCAAATATCTATGAGTAAAGACACTTAGGAAATAGTGCCGATCATCTCAACAAATAATTCTCGTAATAATTCACATATCTATGATATTTCGAAATTTGTCAAGAATAATTAACCATTTGATTCCTAAAATATAAATGATATTAAGAAATAAATCCTATATACTATAAATTGGGAAACTATTAATTAACCAATAAACACTTAAAAAGATTAAATCTTAAGATACCGATAACAAATTAATAAATTAGTCTAATCAATATTACTAAGAAATTGATTAGTCAATAATCGGGAAATTAATCCAAATTAAGAAAAAGGTTATGAATATCTTGATGTCGCTAGTCAACAAATAAAGGGATCAAAAAAATGTATTCGACTAAACTAGCCAGAAATTTGTTTATTAGTACGACGTTTCGACCATATGGTTGTGGTCCTTATCAAGTATATACTGGAAAGATTATAAATGATTACTAAATTAGTTAACGGTTTGAATATATATAGTACGCTCAATGAATTAAAATATAACAATTTTAGTATACCGACGTAATAAAAATCAGGAGACCGGCATGGATGATAATCTTGTAAATTGCACAAGTCACATTAAACAAAAACGTTATTTTAACTAAATTTGAATTCGAGAGAAATTAATGCGTCTGTGAGAGACTTCGTCAAGAGACTAAACAATAACGATATGAAAACTGAACTACGTGACCTTTATTACTTTGTCGTAAATATTGTTTAAACTATCCGTGTCTTTCTGTAGGTTGATTAAATTATTAAATTTCTTGATGAAAAACATCTCAGCAATTTCTCTCTTTCATACTTTTCATTATGCAAGATATTGGGTTTCAACTAGTCGAAATCGTGTCCGGATTCCAATCTATGCTTGCTAATGACCGAGTGATTAGATTCGTGTAGCTTTATATTACAATGTTCTTTCAATCACGTACATAAATGTCTTTTTGTTTGCCCGATGTATGATAAATTGCAATCTTTGCAGTTTAATTTGTATACAACACTTGTCTTATCATTGTTATGTAAGGAATCTTTACCGCGTCTAATTAAATTATTTAATTTTTTTGTTATTTTGTAGACGACGTTAAAGCCACTATCCCGCAAAAGACGGTACAAGTCATGACTCGAATTCTCTACATATGGTATTGTAATAAATTGAGTCTTACCTGAACGAGTGAGATTCACGTCAACCGTATCATTAAGGTCACGATTATTTAAAAAATTAATTCTTTTTTGAATGTGTCTATGTATAATATGTTCGGGGAAACAATTATTGATTAAGGTGTCATGTACTAGCTTGATGTTTTCTTGTCGGAAGCAGTCATTAGGTAATAAAATAGCATGGTCAACCAAATTATAAATAGTGTTAATTTTGTATTTTAACAGGTGGTTAGAATAATAATTAATATACCTCCCAGACCATGTAGGTTTCCTAAACCAGTTGGTGATAAGCCTATTCCCCGATCGAATGATTTTTACATTTAAAAAACTAATCGATGAATCAACTTTCATCTCGTAAGTGAATCTCAATCGCTCATTATAATTATTAAAATTCATTAAAATTTTTTCCATTCCCTTACGTGGCACTATTGCAAAAACATCGTCCACAAATATATAGTAAGTGGGAACAGTAAAATTCAATGAGTCTAAGCATTGTGTCTCAAGATCATCCATCACCATATCAGCCAGGATAGGTGACAGCGGAGAACTCATAGGAGTGCCAAAAAAACTAAATAATTTAATTAGACGCGGTAAAGATTCCTTACATAACAATGATAAGACAAGTATTGTATACAAATTAAACTGCAAAGATTGCAATTTATCATACATCGGGCAAACAAAAAGACATTTACGTACGCGATTGAAAGAACATTGTAATAATATAAAGCTACACGAATCTAATCACTCGGTCATTAGCAAGCATAGATTGGAATCCGGACACGATTTCGACTGGTTGAAACCCAATATCTTGCATAATGAAAAATATGTACGAAAGAGAGAAATTGCTGAGATGTTTTTCATCAAGAAATTTAATAATTTAATCAACCTACAGAAAGACACGGATAGTTTAAACAATATTTACGACAAAGTAATAAAGGTCACGTAGTTCAGTTTTCATATCGTTATTGTTTAGTCTCTTGACGAAATCTCTCACAGACGCATTAATTTCTCTCGAATTCAAATTTAGTTAAAATAACGTTTTTGTTTAATGTGACTTGTGCAATTTACAAGATTATCATCCATGCCGGTCTCCTGATTTTTATTACATCGATATACTAAAATTGTTATATTTTAATTCGTTGAGCGTACTATATATATTCAAACCGTTAACTAATTTAGTAATCATTTATAATCTTTCCAGTATATACTTGATAAGGACCACAATCATATGGTCGAAACGTCGTACTAATAAACAAATTTCTGGCTAGTTTAGTCGAGTACATTTTTTTTATCCAAATTAAGAAATCTAAGAAAATAATTACATCAACTGAAAGGATGCGTACATGACGGAAATTGTCAGAATCGGATATAAAAAGAGGAAACTCACAGTAAGAATCATCAGTAATCCGAGTTCAGTAATCTGAGAATAGTCATCGGTGATCAGCTGTGATCAGTCTCCAGTCAGTTGGCATCTTTTAAAATTAATATTCTGTAAAAGTTCGGTCCACAGTTCTCGTAAATTCAGTGACCTATCCACGGGGACTTCGCTGCGATTTACCGACTACCCTATTCATCTATGAACCGAATGATCAACTTTTCAAAGATCAAACCTTGACATCAGCAATAGTAAATCATGATCTCGATATTTGAATATTTATTTATCGCTATTATATCTTGCTCTCCATGGAATCCCGTTCTACTTGCACTTATTCCGAAAAGTGTTGGGCCAACGAAATAGGTATTGTCGGAACCGTCGAACGCGCAACCTATTGGCTCGGACTGCGGCTGATTCGCCATTCATACTAGACATAAGTCAACTTAACATCAATCTATCCATAACAAAAATCTTCTTGAATAATATTCAAGAAAACTCGCGAGACGCTCCTTACTTCCCGAAACCTTTGAACCTAATTTCTCCGGCATATGCCTAGAACCCGATTCTCCATCCGACTTTCAGTTGCTTTCACTCTTTGATTCTCCTCTCAACGAACCACTCCCAGATTCACCTCTCCCCTCTTTCCATACTCTTCTTCCTCCTATTATTTATTTCGCAATCGATCTCAGCAATCGACGCATCACGGGATTTCTTAACATGTTTCTCCGAGTACACTAAACCAATCTCTCGAGTTTGCTTTATCTTAGGACTTAGTTCCATACACCTTCCCATATTGCGCAACTTTCTTAACACCGCTCCTCCTAATATGATTATCCCCTCTTTTATCCAATTTATCAATTATCTCTTAGCTTTACCCATAGAATTCCTAGGTAAAGTATCCTCTAAAATCTAGTTAAACCTCCCTTGTCTTATTGTATACACACACACACACACACACACACACACACACACACACACACACACACATACACACACACTCCGCGACGGGACCGGATTGGTCCCTGGGAGAAGCCCAACTCCGGCGCGGCGCGTCCCCAGGTGGCGGATAGGGGAAGTTCCTCACTGGGTCAGCTTGCTGATCCAGCGGACAGGAGTGAAATAAAATAACTCCCGTGGACCAAAAGAGGTGTGTAGGGTAGGCCTCCTATAACAGCCAAAAGCGAGATGGAGAGTGATGGTAAAACAGAACTACCCCATGCGGGCAACCTTTAGAAGGGAAATCCCGCCGTCGGTTCCGATCGGGTGAAAGCCTCGGTGGCTGGCGCTGGTTCCACGGATTGTGGGGGGAGCTAAACGTCACTTAAACGGGTAGACCACTTGGCCCCAAATGCGACAAATGAAGACGGGAGGAAGCAGCAAAGACAGGAGGAGGTGCTAACAAATTCCATGGGACAGCGAATTGCCCAGAATTGGGGCAAGGTCTTGGCGCACGCTGGCAGTGGACAGAAGCCGGTGACGCCTAAACCAGGCAAACTGTGTCCAAAAGGTGCGTAGGACCGGCGCAGGCGATTTGCTGTTTGTCCTAAATAAGGAGAGCTCAAACAAGACACCTGAGTTGCGCACAGCCACCGAAAAGGTACTTGGCGAGAATGCGACGGTCAGGAGCAAAACTCCGGAAGTTGACCTAGAAATCAAGGATTTGGATGAAATAACCACCAAGGAGGAGATCCTCGAGGCCCTGCAGAGAGACTTGGGCACGGACTGTGGTGTCACACTGGAGTCTGTGAGGTCTCTGCGGAATGGATATGGAGGTACCAAGACGGCGGCCGTTAGACTTGCGGCACCCACAGCCAAAAAGCTACTTGAGCGGACACATATCCGTGTGCCATGGACTGATTGCTCCGTCCGGGAAGTAATAAGGCCCCTAAAGTTCTACACGTGCTGGCATTTTGGACACCTGTATAAAAACTGTAAAAGCAGGGTGGACAGGTCCAAGAGCTGCATCAAGTGTGGGGTAGAGGGTCACAAAGTTGCCAACTGCAAGACCGATGCACGCTGTGCTTTATGCGCGGAAGGAGATAAACAGCAGTCTGTAACCCACACTGCAGGTAGTAGCCGGTGCCCAGTGTATACACGGGCTCTACAGGCGATTATTAGCAAACGACGATGAGAGTACTGCAGCTCAACCTCAACCATTGCGAGGTCGCGCAGGACCTGCTTATACAGACTGTGCGGGAGCTGAGACCAGATCTGGCGTTACTCTCTGAACCCTTTAGACACCGCGACACGCAGCCCTAGGAGACTGATGCAAGTGCTAAGGCCGTCATTTGGTCTTGCGGAAAGCTACCCTTTCAGGGTATTGCGAACCGGGCTGAGAGCGGCTTTGTGAGAGTTAAGGTCAAGGGGATTCACTTTTACAGCTGTTACGCCCCACCCAGTCTGACCACCGGGGAGTTTGAGAACTTACTCGACAGGCTGGTTGAGGATGCCAAAGGGCTTTCCCCGGTGGCAATCGCTGGGGACTTCAACGCCTGGGCGGTTGATTGGGGCAGCAACAAAACAACGGAAAAAGGACAAGTCACTTCTGGAGGCCATGTCAGCCCTGGATGTGGTCTTGCTGAACACGGGTGATAGACCTACCTTCGTGAGGGGGCAAGCGAGATCGTTTATCGATTTCACTTTTGTGAGTAACAGCCTGGCTGGAGCGGGTTGCCGTTGGGAGGTGACCGACACTTACACCGGAAGTGATCATCAGGTGATCTTGTGGGAGATCCGAGGTGATCGCGGACATGATCCGCCACCGCCAAGAACTAACGCTATCGGATGGAAAACTGGAATGTTTGGTGCAGACTTGTTCAGGGAGGCTCTTGACGCCGGCCCGCCTCAGGGAAAAACAGCCACTGAGAAAGTTGAGGAAGTCATGCGTCGGGTAACGGACGCTTGCGACGCAACAATGTTGAGAAAACCGAACATAGATCGGCGGCCACTGGTGCACTGGTGGAGTGACCAGATCGCCGGCCTCCGCAGGGAGTGCAACCGGACTCGGCGTGTAGCTCAACGAGCACGAAGCAAGCCCACATTTCCTATATTGGAGGAAAAGCACAAGGAGGCACGCAGGAAGTTGAACAGTGTCATCAAGCAGAGTAAGACCCAGAGCTGGAGAGAGCTCCTCAGGGAGGTTGACGCTGATCCATGGGGCAGGCCGTACAAGGCTGTCATGACTCGGCTGAAGAGCCAGCCAATGCCAGCGCCGAGCTGTCCAGTGCTCATGGAGAAGATTGTTTCGACCCTGTTCCCGGAGCAGCCAGAGCAGGATTATCACCTGGAGGAAGACGTCGACGAGGAGATCCCTCCCATCATGGAAGAGGAGCTGCTTGCGGCATGCGCCAGAGTGGGTAACAACAAAGCCCCTGATCTTGATGGGATTCCCAATATCGCGCTCAAGACAGCGACCAAAGCGGCGCCGGGGATGTTCCTGGACATGTACAATACGTGCCTGAAAGAGGGATTATTCCCGGAAAGGTGGAAGTGGCAGAGACTGGTGCTCTCTAAGGGGAAGAAGCCTCCTGATGAACCGTCATCCTATCGTCCTCTCTGCATGCTGGACACTGTCGGAAAAATTTTCGAGCGAATCCTTCATGATAGGATTGAGGCAATCGTAGAGAGACTCCTCTCGGACCGCCAGTACGGCTACAGGAAGAACCGTTCCACACTGGATGCGCTGAACTTGGTGGTAAATACCGCCAAGGAGGCCATCTCTGGCAAAAGGTGGAAAAGAGGTATAAAGAAGCATTGCCTGATAGTCACGCATGATATTAAGAACGCGTTCAACTCGGCGAGATGAGATTGTATTATGGACGCTCTCAAATGGTTCAACATGGTATCTGCGAAGAATTGTTGCGGGCTACCTGCATAACCGCAACCTACTGTATGACACAGAGGATGATCCACGGTGGTACAGGGTCACAGAAGGAGTCCCACAGGGCTCCGTCCTTGGACCGCTCTTGTGGATTATTATGTACGATGCCCTGCTGAGGTTGCTCATTCCACTTGGAGTGCTGCCTATAGCCTTCGCGGATAACTTGGCACTCGTTATCATCGCCAAATTCCTGGAGGAGCTGGTCGCGCTTTTCGGGGCGATCTTCCCTAGAATCAGGGGGTGAATGACTTCAGTGGGATTGTCGCTCGCCGAGCAAAAGACGGAGGCACTGCTTGTTACCAGCAGGAAAGCCACCGAGACGGTTACGATCAGAGTTGGTGATCATGAGATCACGTCCCAACCGTTTATTCGGTACTTGGGTGTGATCATTGACGCCAGGCTCAACTTCAAAGAGCAGGTCGAACAGATTAGTAGTAAAGCCTCGGTGGTGACTGCGACACTGTCTCGGCTCATGCCGAACGTCGGTGGCCCCAGACAGGAGAGGAGAAAGCTGCTTTCCTCGGTTACTACCTCAGTGCTCACCTATGGCATACCCATATGGGCTAAAGCACTGCTGATACGGGGGTAAATGGTTACCGAAGGAAAATGGCAGCGGTCTGCCGCGTCAGCGCCTTGAGGGTAGCCTGTGCTTTTCCCACGGTGTCTGAGGACGCTATTAACATCATCGCGGGAATGCTACCAATTGAGGTGCTGGCCGAGGAGCGGAAGACCCTTTACCAGCTGAAGCAATCGTTGCCGGACCCCAACGAGGCGAAATTGGAAGCGAAGGAGAACAGCATTCGCTGCTGGCAGAGGATGTGGGATGTCTCCACCAAGGGACGCTGGACGCACCGGCTAATCCCGCAGGTGAACACTTGGGTGAACCGTTCTCACGGGGAACTCAATTACTATCTCACGCAGGTGCTGTCGGGTTACGGGCTGTTTCCGGGCGTATCTCTACAGGTTTAACTATGAGGAGGCCCCGGATTGCCCAGTTTGCGAAGGAGTTGATAAGGATGCTGAACACGCATTCTTTTACTGCCCGCGTTTTAGCGCGTCACGAAATGTCGTGGAACGTGAGCTTGGAACGCGTATGACACCGGAGAATTTTGTTGAACAGATGGTGACGTCAGAGGAAGCTTGGCGAGAGGTCAGCGCCTTTGCCGCCATTGTCATGAAGGAGCTGCGCCGTGTGGAGCGCGCGAGGAAGAAGATCCTTACAACGGAAGAAACAGAAGAGATAGGAGATGACATGAACCCCTAGCCTACTCAGAACACCCAGAGTAGAAAGGAGAATGTAAGGTCATTTCGATAATACCGAAGGAAGAGCTGTGGCTACGGCCTTTCGCGCGAAGTAGTACCTAATGGTGGTACCGGGCGAGAATCACAAAGGCCAAAGATGTAGGTTTAGGGTTTTAGTCGGTATGGTGACTTGCCACGAGTCCGACACCTCGTGCGTAACAGCATTTCCCCCTCCTAAAAAAAAACACACACACTCACACACTCTCTCTCACACTCACACACACTCACACACACACACACACACACACACACTCACACACACACACACACACACACACACACACACACACTTACATACTTAATATTGTTACAGAATTATGTTCTACCGATTTATGTTTATAATTTTCATATCTCTTTCTTTCATAATATATAATAAATTTATTTAAACTTATTAACTCTTCCGCGTTCAATTCAATCGATCCTTCTCACCACCCCTACTCCTGAATCGCACTACGTCCCGTTCCGAATAATAAGGATTAAGTTCCTTTACCGAAAAGGGGACCGTCGAGTGGATATACGGGACGAGGGTAAGATCGGTCCGAGAATATCTTATATCTTGTATACTGGTGACTTTAGATCGATCAGCAAGAAGGCCTGACATAGCAGTATAATCTCGAGCGGTATTTTATATTAACTTACGTTCAGGCCCGAGGAAGGATGGACCGAAGGAAAGACATGACATTTGTATCCTGAGAACAGGTGCCGTGTAAGGGCAGATGTCTTGAGTTGAGCGAGCTTGCGAGAGGGACGAAAATTCGTTCCTCGATTCGAACCTTCTCGTCGTTGTCCTATCTTAAGGCACCTGTTCTCAGGATACAAATGTCACGTCCTTCCTTCGGCCCTTCCTTCCTCGGGTCTGAACATAATATAAATTAATATAAAATACCGTTCGAGATTATACTGCTACGTCAGGCCTTCTTGCTAATCGATCTAAAGTCACCAATATACAAGATACAAGATATTCTTTCAATCGATTTTTTTTCCAATACAACTGAACATTGACCTCTATCATTTACTAAAGTATTCTTTAGGTAGAGTACTATACTCTATTAAGATATTGTTTAATTCAGTGTTCCGAAGTTACGGAGACCTCTTCTTGTTAGATAAAAGAATCTCTAGTTTTGGACTTCTTGTGGATGAAAAGATCTGTTGTCTGCGTGTTAAATATAAAGATTCTTTAATTAAAGAATCTATACTTATTAATGCTCACTCATTGATCTACATTTATTAATGAGTATTTAATAATGCTCGTTGCCCTCTGGAGACAAAGAATACTTCACCAAAAACGAGATATTGGAAAAAATAATAAGTATAGATAATCAAAAATTCGAGAACAACATCAAAATATTCAAAAGGAATTTCTACACATAGGTAAATTAATTATATAAAGACTATATTGGCAATTGTAGTCTATATGAATCGTCCAATAATAGTGATAGCAAGTGTGTAAAATATATCTACAATTTATGCTTTGACGCTTTATTGGATGCAGTATCAAAACATATGATTATAGATATATGTTACAGTATCAAATTTTAATAACATAAAGACATAGAATTAAAATATGAGAAAACCTTAGCAGGAATGCAAAGAATCAGAGCATGAAGCATGTTTTTATTGACAATCACTATACAATCAGTTAGATTATATAAGTTAAGGGGGGAAAGTCATCATAAACGTACGTTTTTTTAAGATTTTTTTATAAAGAAATGGAAAAATTTATTGAATTAACATAAAGCATATCTCAAAATATACGATGTAAGGTATATCGACAAATTTTTTTAGACTAAAATATTTCAAAATGGCGGCGCCACAGCTGCTGGAAGTCGGCACCTCAGATTTGCGCCGTGCAGCCTACAGACTTCAAATTTCAACTAAAATAAAAAAATCAAATTTTTATCGTTAAAATACATTAATACACTTTGCATAACGGAAAGAAAAAAGAAAATTAAAAATTCAGGACCATTTTGAAAAAAAATCACTTATTTTTGTATAAACAATCGATAAAAAACAATATTTATTTACTTTTTTTAAACAAACTTGACCTTCATGCAATGGCCAGTAAGTTAAAGAATATTTCTTCATCTAAATCGGAAAATTCGCTGAACTACATTGCACGGCGCGCGAAATTTTACGTTTTGAAAAAAACGCCTTTAAAGTTTTTGACAGAAAAGTAGTGTTTAAGAGGACTTACGGCTTTCAACGCTTAATCTGCGATACCAGGACCGTACAATATGCCTTCCTCTTCTGCAAATGCATCCATTTGAGCCGCTGCCTCCAGTTTTTTCGCTGTTCTGGCAGCTTTTGACCTGCTTTGGGTACGATGGTCCTGTCTTTGTACACGGTACCGTTTGGAGCGTGACACTTATATACACTATACTTCGAATCTATACTTCGAATTCGGATTTAAAAATTGAGGAGCATATTCTCCAAGTGTTAAACTAATTTTTTAAGTAAAAAAAAAATATCAAAAAATTTCAAATTACATGATTTTCCCTCCTTAAGTCAACATATATAGAAGAGTGAGCATAGATTTAAATCACTTGCTTATCGGAATCAGGATTTCCAAAATGAAATGTCAATATGAGATTGAAAGCCAAGATCTCCGAGACGATTATTCAACAAAAGCTGCAATAAAGTGATTCACACAAAGCTTTTCTATATTTCCATCTATTATCGATTTGATAGCAGAATGCGATTCAATTAAAAAGGAAGAATCAATTAAATGTGACAATGATCGAAGTAGAAATACTAGAAAAACTTATTCGCTTGACTAATATGAATATGTCTACAGTTCAGGGAATGGTAAAAATAGAAATGTATCATGGAAATTTGAAATTAAAGAAGGTCTTAACGAAGAAGTTTTCACGCATTTCATTTAATATAATTTTTAGAAAAATAAGAAATCATAAAAGCCGCGTAAGTGTAATCATTAGTCAGTCAGTCAATTACCAAATTATACGGTTTACTGGCGGTCAATCAATCAGACATTCTTGTTCGTGTGCCATACTAACAAGGCAACATCCCCAAATCATTCTGATTTCGGGATGAAACTTTGGTTTTGATTTCATCTAGTAGTAAAATATCCATGCTTCAAGAAAAATCCTTGATCTTAACTTCTTCAAATTTTCTTGTGCACATATAGAATCAGAAAGCCACTACACAACACTACACAACACTATAATAAAGTATTTTTTTGTAAAGTACTTCTCGACTACGGCGATACTGTAATTTTCAAACCTCATAACTCGAAATTATAGTGTTATTATAGTGTTTTGAAAAGATCTTGAGTTACTCTACAAAAATGTATAATGAAAAATTGATTTGCATCGAGAAATTTTACCGATTTCAGACTTTTTCACTCTATATACAGGGTGAGGAAAAAGTACCGGGACACCTAAATAACTTCTGAACGGTTTGAGATATCGGATTGAAATTTACAAGGTTACAATGGTATCACACAATCTATCACATAACACCAAAAACGCCCATTTTGACACCCCCAGGGGGCGGGGGGAGGGAGGGCGAGAACATTTTAAATGGAATGTGGGGTCGAGTGAGGGTTCGTTTGAAAGAGCTTTTCGAGATGAGAACAACGCGATGTCGCCGAGGTCTCTACGATTTTTTTTCGCAGAGTTATGATCATTTAAACATTGAGATTTCGCAGTAACGGAGGGCCCACGACGAGAACGTGAGAAAGACTTTCCGCGGACACGTATGGGCAAGCATTCTCAATAATGCCCTCATTGGTCCATTTTTCATCGATGGAAATTTAACAGCTGCGAAGTACGAGGATATGCTAAGACATGAAATAATTCCAGCAATACAGGCTATCGTGGAGGACAATTTTGAGGACACATGGTTTCAACAAGATGGTGCTGCGCCGCATTACGGAAGGAACGTCCGTCATTATCTAAGCACAATGTTTCCTGAGCGATGGAT